AAAAAGAGAAGGTATTTATCACCTGGACAAAGAGGCTTCTTTAAAGAGCATAACATTTTTGACAATACAGCTGCACGTGGGGTTCTCAAAAAGCACAAAGGAGATAGAGCAGTAGGCTGGCAGCTGGGCTGCAGATTGCCCTACTGTCAGCAAAAACCATGACTCAAACTGAGGTTCAGACTGCCAGCCTTGAGCATTTTGGATGTTGAGTACTGACCTCCCTGTTGAACTGATCCTTACAAGTCATACCTACCCTTTTGAAAGGTTTTTATGATTCCATGTAGTGCTACAGTCAATATTGACATGCATTTGCCTCCCTCCCACCCCCAGCTCCACAAAAGGAGGAAGTCTTGAAGAACCTTCATACTTGAGTTCATACTATAATAGTCTCAAGTTTTAGTTTTCAACAATTTATGATGACATTATGTTAGTATCTGTTGAATCCACACACTTGTTTTTCACAGAAGTAGCTTTATCTTCATGGCTTTAAGTAATGCTGAAAAACACTGCACATTGGTCCACGATTATGATTCTTTGTCATAGAATCATAGAATCATAGAATCATAGAATCGATTGGGTTGGAAAAGACCTCCGAGATCATCGAGTCCAACCCTTGGTCATTCTTGATATGGCTAAGGAACTACCCTTTATGTCTTTTGGAATTTTAGGTCTAATATACATAGGATCTGAATCTACCAGTATGGGGTTGATGATGTGGTAATGAGCCTAGAATCACTTTTCCTTAGTGCCATTGTGCTCCTTTCAGAGAACACACTGAATAGAACACAGTCATTTCAATTCAACCTATCACACACAAAAATACATTTGTGAGCGTTCTGAACAAATTAGTTGAACACCAATACCAGATGATAATTTTATGAACAAAAGTCAGAGAAATAGAAATATCTGCACTCTGTGAAATAAATTTTAAACTGCAGAAAATAATTTATTTCTGAGTTGTGCTAGCCCTGTTTCAGTGAAGTCTAGAGGAATATTTGTAGCCCCCTTTAAGTTCATTTACCGTGATATAAGTGCTGCTGCTACTGCTGCTTTGCTGTCTTTGTCCACCCTACATGGGGAAAAAAAGTTATTTATTTTTAAGAGGAATTATGTACTAAGACATTTCAAGAAGCAGTTCCATCTTTTTATTTACTAGCTAGTTTGAAAGTAATAAAGAGTTCATTAGACCTTTTCTTACTCCATGCCATCTCCATGTGATACAAAATGTATATAAAGATCCTTCACAAATAAAGTGCTAAAAGTATTTATACACTTTGATATCATGTTCTTAAAGAAAATTAATTGTATAACACATCATTGTGTCATATTGAGGTATTTCAAGTGAGTTTAAATAATTCTGCCCTTCAGTGGTGCCACACAAACCATTAAAGTCATATCCATTTGTATTCATATTATGACTGAATTTTCATGACTAAGCACAACAAACTTCTGACAAAGGCTTTGTCAAAACATGAATTGAAAAAGCCATGGTTACAATTAAGCCAAAGGAAAAGTCACTGCAGAAAATATTTTGATTCCCATGAAGTATGTGGATTATGAGTGGAATCAAATATAATTTATATCTACATATTGAAAACTCTTAACCCGTGTAATCAAAACACTGTACATTTAAATTTAGAAATAAAATAACAAGGAAATTTTATTCCTTTCTCTGCCAGCATTCATCACTACTCATGAAAGAACATAATGCTATACATTTTGAAAGCAATGATTTTCAAAAGTCAAATGTCATCTGGGATAACCTGCTACTGATCTTTCAGTGAAAGTGAGAATTTGCTGTAGTCTAACAGACTGGCATATGAAGGAAGAAAAGCCTAAACCATTAAGAGTTGGATGTAAGTTAAAATTGCAAAGGACCCAGAAAAAACCCAGTTGCAATGGTCTTTAATCAGCAACGAAGTAAGATATGAACTTTACTGTAGTCACAAAAACACCCTACTCCACCACTGAAGTTATATCTAAATTATCCACACTTACTTGTTCTCTAAGAGGGGAATAATTAGTTTACTGAGACAAAGCTTCATTTAAAACTCAAGTGTAATGGAGAAAGAATGTCTACCTGTACTATGATCCTTGTAGCAGAACTTCCCAAACTCTAAAAATAAAGTCCAGAAACAAAAAAAACATAATACAGTAAATTTAATTGCCTTGTTTAAATGCAATGCACTTGAACAGAAAATACCAAGTTTATATATACCATTTAGTTTGTGAAAATAAAGGGAAAGGTCATATGTGTGATGTACTGAGTATCAGTTCTTAACACCCAGCATTAAACTAGTTTATTCTCAGCTCTGAAAGTCTGGGGAGGCAGACTGGCCCTACTACATAATTTTCTACACTTACATCTGCTTCTGTTACAACAGATATGGGGAGCAGCAGAGCACAGGCTATGCCCTCTCTGCACTAGCAGTCAGCTTGGCTCTTCCAAATGTGCTGAGTGAAGCTAAGACACCATCATCACTGCAGCTTTCTTGCTGTCACCTGCATTGGACACACATCACCACACGTGCAAATCCAGTTCCTGATCCAGCCACTTGTTTGCTGAATTCTGGGGCATGAGGGACAAATGTGGAAGCGTAACACACACACCATCCTGAGAAACTGGCTTGATTCCATAAGAACTGTAATACTAATATAGAAATAATAGGAAATAATAGGAAAAAAGTATGCTTACCTGGGGGAAGGTATGACGCTGCAAATGAAACAAAACAATTTTTACTTATTTTGCATGAGGGCTTGTCCAAACAGAACATTGCAGCAGAGAAAGGGAGAAAGGGTCCTTATCTTTTGGATGCAATACACAACCAAATGTCAAAGGATGATACAAAAAGGACAGCATAGAACAAATGCATATTAATCTTCATTCAGGTTAGAACAACATGTTCTATTACAAATTTAACACTGATAAGTTATTACATCATACAAACTCATGTTAAACTCCTAAAAGCTAAACTTAGTTTTAGCTGATTGTATGAGTTCCAAAAAAGCAGAGTGGAAATTTAATAGTTTAAAAATGAGAATGGAAGTGAATTTACAAAAGAAAATTGAAATAGAAACAGAAACTATTCAGGAACACAGAGACTGAATGCATTGAGAGACCTGGAATCTGCAGCTAATCCAGTCCCTCTGCAAGCACTAACAGCAATCACAGAACCATGAGATTTGTAGCTATCTTATAACTGGCTTTCCCTAAAGATAATTATGCACATAGAGTAAACTCTGCCTGTCAGAGAATTGTCTCCATACACCAGGACTCTTTCTGAAAAATTAAAAATGTAGATATTTGAAAGCTTTTTGAGTCAGAATTCTCAGTATTGTAAAGAAAAACTGCTTACCACAGGTGGAAAAGGGTTGCTGTTGGCAACGACCACTACCTATAGAGAAATCGGAGGAAGCTGTTTACTCATCATAGTGTCTATTTAAATCGTTAAATATGTCAGAAAAATGAAGAATACTGAAATCTCTGTATTTACAAACTCTGATAATAATGCTATGGATGATCACTTTTATAAAAGAATTTAACACACATTACCAAGCAAAGAAGAATATATATGTACACATGGTTTACATAAGAGTGTAAGGAAATAAAAGACTTGCTCCCAACCACACAATGACTCAGCTGTAGAGGCAGAAGCAGGATTTCATGTATTGTACCATATCCATTGGCCTCTACTGTGTGTCTTTTTGATCTTCAATGTTCCGTCACAAACTAGAATATTAATTTATTTTGTCATTATTCAATATTATGCTAAAAAAAAAGACTTCATATTGAGTTTATTAAAAAACAAATTAAGCCAATTGCAGACACAATGAGGTGTTAATGTTTTCTCACTAAAGCTCTCCCCACCTTTTTTTTTTTTCAAACTGAAAGCAGTTTGCATTACCCAGTGGTGTGAAAAGGAAAAGGAGAGTTAGTGCTCTCTGAAGTAAAGAATTCTAGTATAGAACAGGAAAAAGTATTAAAAAATAATTGAACGGTATGTTTTAAATTCTTAAAACAATGGTAAATTAAAATTAATAAAAACATCTGTGAGGACATGAATTGGTACACTTTGTGTTTACTGAACACACCACAGTATTAGCACTGAGCTTCCTGGAGACTGAGAGAAAGAGTCTGTTTAAATATAATTATGAGTCAAATTCAACAATAAAATGAATTCTATTGATCTGACTTTCTCTGAGCCACACTTATGCTCAACCCTCATAACTATGTAATCTATATTCTTAAAATCCTAATTACATCACAATTGCTATCCTAACTTTTTAAAAAGAAACATGTATTTTATATACAATTGAATCAGCTATCAGCAAGAACCACCACAGCACAGCTAGTTAGTATAAGGTTTCTAAGTACCAAAACAAATCAAATCATATGAATCAATCTGGGTTAAAACCTTGAAAAATCCTAACTGAAGCAAAAGGAGTCGCGCCAAGTTATAACTGTAAGAGTTTTTCCCTTTGAAAAGGAGAGCTTACCTTCTTACTGGAATCAGAGCTGCTTGAAGGGACAGACTGTAAAGAATACAGAATCCATATTTTGCTTAGGTAAATGTATGGCACATTAACTACAGCACTATTTTTCACAAGAATGTTTTGCTAACATGATTCCCCTGAAGTACCAAACAAAATAAGATTCTGAAGAAAAATATGAATATATTGGCAATTCCTAAATGAACAACCAAAATAAATTAACTAGTTTGATTTTTTTTCTAAATACCCAATTATTTTGTTATTTTTACAGAGCACTGTATAAAAGCTGCAAACGTTTCATTTAACATGAAATTGGAAGTTTGTTTATAGAAAAAAATAATCTATTGCTAGAAAAAAAAAAAAAGCTCTTCTACCTTCATCAAAAAGGAAAACAACCCAAACTCCAGAACCCATCCCCTCAAAATTAAAAAAAAACAACAATTACAACAGCATCTGGGAAAAAATGAGATATGCCATCAAAAGATAAATGTTTTAAATGAAGTATAAAATAATGTGCAGTGAAGTTATCCATTTCATTAACTATTATGTACAATTGCATAGGCAAAAGCCAGAAAAAATAGTTTTAATTCTTAGTAACTATCAAAGAAAGTCACTGACTTCTGGAAAATCATAACAAAAGTAACTGGTGTCCATTTTCAGAGTAAATACAATTGAGTTTCAGTGCAAAACAGGACTAAATAACTTCTAACAAAGTAGATATAACAACATACATCAAACATGTAACTCATCTGCTGAAGTTATTTTCAGATATTGTTACTGAACCATTTGAAGGCAGTTCATATTTATCCCCTTTCCTAAGTATAATTATTGTTTGGTAAAAGTTGGGCATAACTGCTTAGCCCTGAATACCTTAGGAAATTGAAAACATGTTGGAAAACATGTAGTTACCTGGCCATAGGAAATGCCGGATGAAGATGCACTCTGAAATAAAAACATAGAACAGGTATTTATTTAAATCATATTTTGTTAATTATATCTAGAAGTCATCCTTCGATGCACACTTCAAATGAAGCTGATTTTACCTATACTTGAAATAAATCTAGGGCAATAGTAGAGTATACTGAACTTGCTTAAAGATAACTGACGTAAAAATTTCCCAAACTCTACCATGGTCATAAGGTTACTGTTGCTCCATCAAAAATGCAGTTTACACTTACATATTAAACAAAGATAAAATATATTTAAAGTTTAGGAACTAATATAACTAATGATGTATCTAAAGTTGAGCATACGATTAAGCAGTTTCTTGGCTAGGGTTTCAGTTCCTGACAAGCATTAGAGAGCGTGTTCTCCTTCTGATAAATATTTTTACTTGCTTTTGTGATTTTAAAAATGTAAAATATATCAGATTTTAAAATAAACCTGTTTTCAAGTGAAAATGAAAGCAATGAGATTGACAATAGAAATTTCTCTACTAACTAAAGAATTACTGGATTAATACATAAAGATTGTAAAAAACCCCAAATAGTATTGCACAATATGCAATATCCAAAGACAATTACTCTGATAAAAAGCATTACACAGTAGGAATTCTGACATTTTAGTAGGCTAACAAATTAAGCATTTGTAATAGGTGATGAGCAGCCCTTATGACATAAATGATTATGCTTTGAGGAACTGACAATATAACACCTTTTAATTTTGGTTTTTAATCTCAGAATAATATCTCAGACTAACACTGTTTTCCTTGATATGTTTAGGAAGAATAATATAGCTCTACAGAAGAGAATCAAATGCAATTTGCAATAAAGAGATGAGTTAAGAAGCATAGTAAGAGACAATCAGTAAAAATATCCATAACCAGCTTACGTCTCTGCAGGCATGTTGACCATATGTACCAGCAGCACCTCCCTAAGAAAAAAAAAGAAACCAGTTATTTCTCATCTATAGCTGCTTCAGAAGGAAAGTCACACTTCAGACACCCTCAATTCTGTCTGATCTTTATGTAAAGAATAGATGATAAGGAGAGCATTGTAGTCTCCACTACAAATGTTTGAACATAGGAGCCCTTTGTCTATTAGTGATTATCTAGTGGTACTTGGGAAACATTTTAAAACAGGTACTGTTGAGACACAATTTTAATAAATTATAAAGGTTTTATATAATGCTCATAATTCAAACATACTATGTATGTCATATGTACATACATGTAAAAATTAGGAAGCAGAAATCCAAAAGAAAAAAAAAAGCTAACATCTTCCTGATAGTCAATAAATTATAAAATGTAAACATTCAGCATAAATAGTAGTAGTTCCTTTTCTACATAAACCTCAATTGTTACTATTATTACGATCAAGTCTCCCCAAAACCTGTAATTTTGTTTTCTTTGCAAAAACCCAACACACATTGTGATGAATTAATTTTATATTTTGCAAGTACTGATGATATGAATGTTTTACATTTTTGCACTGTTTCATTTATTTTTCTTTTTTTTTTTCTTTTTATTTTGATGAAATGTTTGGATTAAATACAAATTTTTATTAAAAAATTAAAACCTTATCTTGAAAGTGCTGAAAGGAAAACAAAATAATTATATATATATTTTAATCCGTACAATTAGTCACCATCTTGATAAAAATGCTTCAGGTAAGTCTTTGATCTATTCAGCACATTCATTATATTACACTGTTGCATCTTTCACCTTTTTCTGGATGACTGGTTTAACCTGTTCAGGATTCATAACTTCACAACTATCCCTGCTGCCTGAAAAATGAGAAACTGAAATAGCCTCAGTTCTTGCACAAATCTGTGTGACCACTTCTGCGAGGAGGAGCTACCTAGAACATGCAGACAGACTTGCATCAGTCTTGTCTTGAATAGAAGGAAGAGTAGATACCTTGTATAATGAGTGTAATATAAGTGCCACAGATAACCCCTTCCAGTCCTTTTTTTTTTCATGATTCTATAATCCACATGTTTCTATTTAACTTTTTAACTTCTCTGTTTTCCAGCTACTTAATATCATTGAATAAACTGTAATATTCATCCTTGAGATCTCTCTTCAGTATTTTCTGTTTGCAACAGAAACTCCCACATGAACAGTCATATTAAATAATGCCATTGAAGACTACGAGTTACTATAAATATAGTTATGCTGGGGACAAAAGAGTAAATGTAAGAATAGTGCTTACAGGGCCACATCCACTGCTGCTTATTGTGTAGACTACTCCACCCTGAAATAAAAACAGAAGCCAATTATTTCCCTGTAAATAAAAAGGGGGAAAGACAGAAAAAAAGCAACAAACTGCTGGTTTTGGCATGAAGAGCTGTGCAGCTGACAATGTGTATGTGCTAGTAAGGGTAAAGCAAGTACAGAGGTTACCAGTTCACTGGCAACTGCCTGTAACAATTCTAATTTAGTATGAGACATTAGTCATCTTTATTTCACATAACTTCCATATGACTCTGTCATTGGTCATGAAACCTTTCAAAATTTTACTAAGTGGTTCATATTTTATAAAAAAATAATAACTTTAGGTACTTAGTGTCAAGATGAGAAACAGCTCTTAGGAAAGAATATGTATTATATATTAAACAAATACACTGCAGAAAATTGGGTTTTAGCATATACATCAAAATAATTTGTATTTCTCGATATCTGGTAATTCCAGTTACAAGTAGTAAAGATTGAAGGAATAGAATATTACTAGATAACTCACTAATAACTACCAGTAAGTAGTAAGAAATACACCCTTGAGAGGCTGGAGACATATCAGAAAGCATCTAAGAGTTAAAGGGTAAATAGGAAAACTAATTGTAGTGAAGATAATTAATTAAAAACCAAGCATATATTTCTGTGATGAATAAAGTAAAAGTGGTAAGTGAAAACGCAGACATACCCCAGAATTTTTAAAAGGCTAACTAGACAGTGATTAGACTCCAAATTTTCAACTGAAAATATAAGTCATTGTTAAAAGCAATATAGACATTATACTGGAGCTTTAATATGGGCATGAATATCTGGGGAAGTTCGGGGAAATTTTGTAAATTCTTGTGGAAAAGACAGTGAAACACAAGTATATTTAAATCTTTCATTTTGACTATTAAAAAAGAGGGGGGAAAAGGAAAAATACCTGATGAATTAAGAATAGGTACAGTTCAATTTTCATTATGCCAGATGTCACTAAAACTATGAAGTAAATGGTTTGTGACTGTGTTTGTATGCACACACGCACACATAGGTAGGAAACCTCTAGGAAGATGGAAGAAATATTATTTTCCTGAAAAGAGTCAGGTCAATGCTCAACAAAAATGACTGAAGCGTGAAATCAAAGGTAGTGAAGCAGCTTGTAGGTAAAAATACTGTCAGCAAGCTATTGAGTTCAACAGAGAGGAGGTAATTGAACTTAGTCCAGGTACTGAACATACTGTTTACTGGATGAATAACTCTGCAATTCTGTGTGAACTAGCAGAGAAGATATTTCAGTACAGTGTTAAATCACCTCAGTACTCTGTAGTTACACTATTTTAGTCGTTCAAGATTACTAAAGAAAAACATACAAATGCAGGAATTTAGGGCTCATACCTGACTGCCTGAATAGCTGCTCTGAGAAGAACCTGAAGGTCCAACCTGTAAAGAAACCAAAATGGTATTTAATATTTTGCAGGAAAATTATTTTATGTAAGTGATTTTCAGGAAAGAAAGTTATACTTGGTGGGAAAAGGAAAAACCCACAAAGTAATTACTTAAGACTTCATACCACCAACTGATACTATCAAAATTATTTCAGAGATCTTTCAAGCCGAATAATCAAAACTATACCCAGGCAGCTGTTTTAAGTAACATAATTCTGCTGTTTGCATCCTTTTTTATCTGACCTCATACACTTCTGCCCATCACTGAGGAGGGAAACCCACACTGTCACAAGTAGACTAAAGCCTTTTACTGATATGACTATGTAACCACTAACATATTTCCTGTAAAAAAGTAAAGAAGAAAAAGAGGCTTCTTCACTGAGCTGCAACTGATAGTTTTCAGAGGAAAAAACCTAAATTGTTATATTTTATATCAAGATCATGATTTGCAAAAGGCAAGGTTTTACAGCTGTTGGAATAAGTGATCTTGAACAGCAAGCAACAACTATGAATAAAAAGTGAAGACAGAAACAAGAAAAATTCTATAAGAAAGTTACTTCAGGTTAGCTAGAGAGAACCTGCAGAAGGAAATGATATGGCTGACAATGACTTAAAAGGTTTTGAATTTTAATAAACAAAGGTGAATTGCCAAAAAGGAAATTAAATTGAGTAACAAGAGGGATAAATAAAGAAGTGACTAGAAGCAGTTTTTGACCAGGTCTTAAGATCTTGGGCAGTTAGCAGCATTGCCAATGTCTTTGGAGAAAGAATATTTACCATGATGCATCGGCCTTGTGTTGTGTAAGTCCCTCCATGCTGCAAGAAAATACAGACTCCAGTTACTGGTTATTGAGTGGTGTATAAATACCAAATTACTTTAAACAGGAAATCAACTGAATTCACATTCATGCTCTGAGTGAAGAAATCAAGTGTTTCATTGCTCATCAAGTTCATGAGAACTAATATTAACTAATTAAAAATAACAATACCTTCAAAACTGAATACAAAAATGAAAGCATAAATGAGATCTATCTAGGAAAGTGATGTGAATGGTACAATATAATCTTCATGCTGCAAGCATGAAACAAGTGGAGCGGTAGGACAAGAATTCTAAAACTGAGGTAACTGAAAATCGGGAAATTGAAGAAAAATTGCTCTTACCTTGTTACATTCTACTTCTATCATAAGCTGTGGGGGAAAAAAAGAAAAAAGAGGAAGCATTACCAAATTATTTATTGCAGAAAAAAGCGCACCTTATTATAGGAAACAGGAAATACTTTTGGTGAAGTGTGAGACTAAAGACAGGTGTTCACTCTTCTAGATCACAAGCTCATAAATCAGTGCTGCTACAGTCAAGAACCAATATGGTTGATTTGAACAGGCTTTCTTTACTTAAGTGGACAATCATGTTTAATATGTTTCATATAAGCATAATTCTTGGCAAAAAAAAATTAGCAAACTCCTTTCTAAGAATGTGCTGCACAGCTATAGTTCCCAGGAACTGGGGCAAGAGTTAAGAACAGCACAGTACACCAAAAGTACAGTACAGTTCTCCTTATGAACAATATTATTTTCTTTTTCATTTCTTTTTCTTTATGGTATGGGTTGTTTTGATAATTAGATTATTACCTTTCTTATTTCTGTGGGAGAAAAATAATATTTGCTGTATTTTTTCATCATTTTAGTAAGAGGATTAGGCAGATTAAAATTATTGAAAACATGTAATGATTTTGGCCATCTTAATGAATAAATGACAACAAATATATGTCTTGTATCAATTCAAAGATACTTTAATTTACTGTATTAATTTCTAGTATGCAAATACACTCAAAACATACCTTCCTTTTACTTTTTCCTGTCCCATTAACTGACTCAGAATGTGTAGGTGTGAGAGTTTTGCTTTGAATTCCAACCCAAAAATTCTCTAGATTTTGAACAACGGTTGCACTAGAAAAAAACCAAAATAATAATTCTTTTTCTATCAAAATATTTCAGTATAAAATACCAATATACTCTCCTCCCCCCTTCCCCCAGCCAAGAAAATCCACTGTATTTTGGTTTTAGGGGTACACAATACAAGTTTCACAGAACACTTTTCCAGTGACTTATATTATCACCTGACATAATTTTGAAGATAAATGAAAGAGATGCTGAGACAAGCAGAATAGGAATGGACACTATTTGAAGAAATACTGACCTCAGTGAAGAGTATCAGCTCAAACACCCATAAGAATTGTCACAACTCTTTCCTATTCTGACAATCTATATCTATGATGGTGAATTGATTTTCATGGCATTAATGAGTGGAAGCAGTTGTGGTTTTGTGTTCTTTTGCCCATTCTTTGTATTCCTCAAGATATAATGAAGCAAGGCAAAGATGGCCCTATCATAAATTTGCACTTCAAACAATTCAAGCTGTCAAATATTTAGATATTTCCCAATTACATCAAGCATGTATTTTGTTACTTTTTGGTACTTTTACAAGCTTCAGATCTCCAAGAAAAGTAGCATTAAAAGTAGGATAACTTTGTCTTCTCCTGTTTCAGGAGTTTCAGCAGTTAGTTCATGGGTCATAAACTGATTTTCAAATTTATTTTAGCAGAATTTACATCAATCTACTATTCTTCCACTGTTCAAAATGAAAAAAGGTGTAATTGAACAGAGCCTGAGCTTCATGTATTCAGGGAACTAGTTAAATTCATTTTGTTGCTGTTGTATTAAAGAGGTCAAAGTGTAAAAACTGGTTACTCAAAGATCCATTAATAACACTGTGCTTAATGGAATTATTTACACATATTAAGATCTGTAGGACAGTGTTTACCTTTTACACTACATCTTGAAATGGAAATGATATTATTCAATATATATAGTGGGAAGTTATGACAAACTATTAAAAAGTATAATAGTGGCAAGACAAGAACATCAGAAACAAAAACACAGGTCTATTTCAAAATATTCCATAGAAATAAAATTTCAAGGGGAAAAAATAAATAAACAAGAAAAATCGTTATTTACATAAATTGAAGCTCTCCAACATCATGTGGAGCAATCCATGTTGTTGTAACTTTCTGTTTCACATCTGAATTTGCATGACTTATTGCTGAATTCTGCAATTAAAAATAAATACATATAATTACATAAGATGCAAAAGTGATTTTACCTATATTGTTAAGGGAACTGTCTCTACCACAAAAGGTAACACTGATGTCCTCCTAAAAAAGCCAAGTAGTTTCTACATTAGATTCATATCACATATAGAGGATGCATGTAGTTCTTGAAAAAGTCTAATTGTTTTAACCTCTTCTGATGAAGTAGCTTTGCCATATAAAAAATGCTCACTATTTCTACTATTTAAAAGAAAACCAAGGTTAATTAAGTATTCCAAAGACTGAACACATACCGTCATATTATGACATTCCAAGCCTTTGGTGTTTGGATCTGTAATTTTAAAAGTACCAACAGGACTATCTCCATCTATTTCTCGAGCTTGTAGATTAAATCCTTTAAAACCAGCTTCTCCAAGTGCTTCTAGAGTCACTGTGAAAAGAGACATTTTGAGAAATTTAAGTTTCATACACTACTAAAACCTCCTAAATGTGTAACATCTAATTTCCTTTACTCCAAGGCACAAGACTACACGTGTACAATTTTAAAAACCAATTAAAAAGCTTTTCTTGATTATAAGGAGAATGACTATAAAGGAAAAAATTTGGAGAGGGGCTTTTGTGTAAAGTAGCATGAAATTTTTCATTTACTGACAATTTTAAAAGGAATTCTGCTCTACCAAGTGATGAGTGGCCCTGCTAACCAAAAGATTTTTTATTTTCTGTCTAATTAGGCCTACAAAGTCAAAATATCTACAGGAAAAAGAGAAATGCATTTCTACCTCTGTTTTAAAAGAAAACATTAACATTTTCCTAAGGCTGAATTGCAGACACATTTTTGTTAAAATGTATTACAACTCTAAAGAGAGAAACTAGACAATTTTGTTTTCATGTTCTATATTAAGTAAAAAAAATCAATAATTATATGAGCTACCCAATTTTATTCAACTTCTGTTACTGAAGGAGCTCAGAAAAATATGGGAAAGAGCAGTCTTCTGTTTTGTTTATATCCAAACAGAAATTAAATTTCAAAAGGCATAATCGATTTTTTTATGGTCTACTAAAACTTTACTCTGCTACTTCCATTATTAGGCACTTTTGCAAATAAAATCAGAATAATGGTTTATGCACAAAGGTTATGTGTAGTCATTAAAAATAAAGAGGGATGAAGTGGAATGACACAGAAGTCAAGGCAAGGACCAATCCTACCCTGGTAATTTAACATTTCCAAACACCTGCATAATTAGCCTTCCAATTTTTCGTCAACTTTCAGCCCTAATTCACTAATTTTCCCCAGGTCTCACAGAAGCAATGACATCCAGCACTTGAATGCAGTGCTAAATCAAGCAGAGATGAGACTATAAGAGTGCTGGCACATGGAACTCCATAGGCCAAACTACAATATATTCAATGCATCCTAATGCAGCTCCCTGAGACCAGGTACTGGGTGCTCACGATTTGAAACAATAGAAAAGTAGTGGTAAAAATAAAAAATTAAAAAAAAAAAAAAAAAAAAAAGGAGGGGAAAAAA